TGGTGGCATAAATTAAAACTTCATTGTAAGTGTACTGGATATATTTACTTAGTTCTGTACTTCAAGTAGCCCAGAGATATTTTTCAAGAGCTATAGGAAACGTTCTTGTTAGCTTGTATGCTTCTAAGTAGTACACAGAGTCTGTGCCTTAATTTGCTAGTATGCTAATGCAAGTGCAAGTGTACTAAGATCTAAGAGATGTTTCACAATGACTTGGGAAAATCCATCCAACAGCGTTTCCTTACATATGCATCCCTGAAGTCTGCAAGTAAGGATGACAGTGTCAGCATTCATAGCTTTTCTGGAGAGTTAATATTCTTTTATTAGAGAGATGGACTGTTTCTTTGCAATATGCCCTCCTGACAGCAAGAAATACTGCTTCATTCAGTTAAAATAAAATACTGTTTTATTTGTCATAAATTAACCAGTCACCATCCTGACTCTCATAGAAGGATAAAAACAGTACTAACATTTTATTCTGGAATTGTTAACTTCCATACATATATATCACACTTCTGTTTAAATTTGAAGTCTTTTTAAAACAGGGAATTTCTACAGCATTGGAAAAATTTGTTACTGTTACTGAAGTAGGCACCAGTTCAGTTCAAAACTAGTAATACTTTGGGAGAACACCAGAATGGCTTTGTAAGTATAGAATAAATTTCAACACAGGTACATGTCTTTTCAATTATTTAAACTTTTTGTAGCATTCATTTAACAGTTTGTGACAGAATTTATTTATCATGCCTGACTTGTAAGTGTTGAAACTATTCAATTAAGGAAGTGGACTCCATACCTCTAGCTACTGTAGGCTTCTCACAGGAGCATTCACAACCAAGCCTGCCATGCCATGAAATTTAAAAGAAAGACATGGCACTAAAGAAGCAAAGCTGCAATATCTTCTCAACATGGCCTCTTGATGACTTAATCTTGCCAGGTTAATCTTACCAGGTTAGCCAGGTCATTTGGCTCATGTACTGTGTTTAGGGAAGTTAAAAAGAGAATTTACAAAGAAGTTAAGCTTCAGCCTCTTTGGCAAGCATGGATTTCAGGTTAGGTTGTTACACTGGCATTGTCACAACCAGAGGGACCCCGAGAGAATCCTGAATTATTTTATATTGTTAAACGTAGGAAACTCTAAATACTGTTATCCTCAGCTTGTAATGTGAGAGGGATTTCAACACGTTTTCTCTTATTTTCATGTTTTTCCTAGCAATTGCATTCATTGTTTTAAGAAAATTGCTTTGACAGCAAGAAGTGCATCCTTAGTTTGTTTTTAGTGCAAAAATTAGTGCATATTTTCTTCCAAGTCCAGTCCTCAGTGAAGTCATAAGTTTTTCTCAGCTTCTTTATTTTATGAAAAGTAAAATAGGGAAAGTATCTTGTCTGGAAACAAACCTTGGTTCAGCAAAGGGTGGTGATGTAGTGTTAGCATCCCACAAAGGCATTAACTTTGAAATTAGTTCTTTGAAATTAGTGCATTTTCATTAGTTCTGTAAAAAAACAATGAACTAGCTTTTTTGTTTATCAGCTACAGTTATATTGCATTTCTTCTTAACAAAAATATGCCCTTTTGCAGAATTGCTTAAAACTTTTTTGGAAATCGTTATTGGGAAGTGCATCACCAGAAGGCCATCAGTGAGAACTGCAGCTGGTAAAGCCCATTCACGCTGACAGGAAAGAGAAAACTGGTTAAGGAAATATTAGGTTATTCATACTCAAGTATTTTTTCATTAATGTCTTTGACCACCTGTTATGCTTACTTAAATACAAGCGCATGATTAAACTTGACTATGAAGTTACCTATTTGTTATCTCTTTATAACTATTTTGTTACCCCTTTTGCACTCATTGTAAAGGTAATAAAGAAAACAAAAAAGAAGAAAAATCCCCCACATTTTTCTGAGGTTACAGTGTAACCAAGTCTCAGAAGTATTTACAAATGTCTCCCCTCCAGTTTTCTCAGATGTGCTGCTGCACAAATATTAACAGTGATGAAATACTAGCCCTGTTTCCAGTATTCTTGCTGTCATATCCTCTAAATGTCAGTGCTACTCACAGACTTAAGGGAGTGCCATATTTGAAGACCTAAGCTAGTATGTAGATAGTGTCATCAAACATTGTATTCAGCAGTTCTGAGAATAATTGATTGTCACAAATAATAAATCATTATAAAGATTAAATAAAGAGAAAGAAGCTGAGAGAGTCTACTTTCTGTAACAGCTGTCCTCTTTTTAGACGCTAGAAATATTTGTTTGTGCCAGTGCTCTTGGATTTGTAACATTTTTATGGCTAAGCATAAAATAGTTTGCTATTAAAGGAAGAGTTTGCCAATTAATGTTTTCTTCTTGTAAAGCACAAAAGGACTTCAGATATTGTTGGAAGCTTCCTTCCTAGGCTAGTCAGGCTACCAATGAAGCAATGCATTTTTTTCCTCTTAGAGTGGTTTTCATGCAGTCCTTCACTTCTAGTAATTAGTAATACAGGACCTCAATTAGTAATCAAAAGGTGCATGGCAAGCACAGGGCAAGTCCAGTATTCCTGAAGTTCCAAACAACCATGAGTTTTTAAGAGATCTGATCAATTTGAAATATCAGCTCTATTGAAAATGTTTTCTTTCACTCCCCTTCTGCAGATTCACTGAAAAAAATAAAAAAAGCAGTCCTTAATAACCAGCAACAACTTACTAGGAAAGTGAATCAACCTCAGGAGCCTATCAAGGTTTTCTAGGTGTATCTATTCCCTGGGGTAGCTTCCCATTATAAACACATAAAGTTTAAACGTGGAAAGCTTCAAATTGAAATGGAAGAATCCATTCACACATCACATTATGAAAAGTCAAGTATTACTACCATTTATTTCCTCAAAGTGGTACTGAACTGTTATATCCAGCTCCTATATGCGTTGCAGAGTTGCCTTTTAGTATGTTATTAATACCAGCTTTACTTTGCTGAGACCTGAAATTTCAAACAAGGGAAGATTCTTTCATTGAAAATTCCAGCAAGATCTGCCTGTAGCTCCAACATTTTTGCGTATTTTCACATCCAGTTATCAGAGTCATTGTGTTCATTATAATAAGTACCATATAGAACAGGGCTAGAAGTCCCTGACTTTAAACTTTCAGAGTTTTGACCCTAGAATCCACCTTGATTTCGCTTCTCTGTCAAATAAGCAAAAGAAATATCTGTTTTTCAGCCTTAGTACTACTCTATAAAACAGAAAGTTTCAGAGGTGTATTTACTATTCTCTCCCAGGGAATGCTACCTCCATCAACAACCCTAAGTTACCATTATGTCCCCTTCTCTTTGATATAAAATTTCAGCTGAAATATATGTCCAAGTATAGAACTTGGGTGTTAACTCAGATTTGTTTTATTTTCAGGTAGTTGTATATTATTGGCTATTTCAGAGTGCCATTTTCTCAGACATGATCTAGGCAGGACTTAAATTAGAAGTTTCAGATGGTTTATTTGGGGGTGGGGGTGTGAGCTAAACAACTAATTAGTTCAGTAGCTAAATTGTTGTTTTGTAGGTGTTTGAGATTGTAGCTATGGAAGGGTGGTGCATTTAAAGATCTCAGATCCATATGCCTTCTTCAAACAAAAAAATTCTAGGCATATTTAGAAAAAATTGATAAATAAAACCCTTAAATCTAGTTGACTGAGGTCATGAATTGAAAACACAGAAGAGCCATGAACTAGATTCTTTCTTCCTCTGTCTCCCAGAGTGGAACACCTTGTAAATACAACTTAATTGATTTATTGTTTACTGATAAATACAGCCTCTGAATCAGTATGGTAACCTAGGATTCACACTGAGCAGAGAACACTTGGAAAAATTCTGAATTGCTACTATTTGGATCTGTCATCTAGTTTTAGAAACAGAAATGTTTATAGATAACTACTTAAGTTTTGTGAATACAGTAAGTAAGCCAGCCCTTGAAACTCTTCATCAATATAAGGCAATTAGACTTTTTAAAACAAAAATCAGAACAGTGATTCCCTTTGCATTACAGATACAGAAAGTATGTGTCAGCACTTTCCATTACTAAAAAAAAAGATGCGCTGTACTCTTTTCAGTCAGCTCAGTCTTTCTCAACATATGAAGAATTCCTTTGCTGTTACATGCAAGTAATAATGCAAAATTCTTGGATAACTGATACATAACCAGTTGACTCTGAGCTGTTGCCTCAATTCTCAAAGAATCTTTCTGCTCTCTAATGAGGGTTGCAGCAATCTTACACTTCCAGCTGAGCTCTGCTGTAATAACCTTTACTGTTGCATCTCTCAAATATTTCCTAATTCTGAAGGCTCAATGTATCACAGATGGCACCCTTTCACTTATCAAATGAGATTATTCTGGTGACAGAAAAGTCCAAATACACTCCTGCTGTTGTTTAATTAAGAAGTAATGTGGTGATGTTAAACTTTAAAACCTGGGGCAGTGGGTTTGTATGAAAATGGAAGTAACCATGAATCAAGGTAAAACATATTGTTCAAATCACATTTTTAATGAAATTGCAGACCCTAGCTACATTACAAATTGTCCACATCATAAGATACATCAGAGGAACAATATTTGTTACTGTCTGGTTTACAATACTGAACATCCTGCTCCACATAGGGAGAATTAAAGAGCTAAATATGCTCCTTGACATTTTGCTGTCAGGCTAGATTGGAGCAGCGTCTTCCAATCAACAGCAATTACTTAATTCCACCTCAGCCTTATTGTGAACTTCCTTCTTCTTAAACAGACCTTTCAGACAGTGTTAATTTTCATCATTTTGCTTTCTGGAATTTGAATTCGTTATGTCATACAACATTTATTTACAGAAATAATTGTACAGCCCCACCACTATTAAGTGCTGAACCCTGCAATTCCAGGAGACAAGCATTATTGTTGTGTACAGGGAACTGCTCTTGCACTGAGTCTCAGTTGAAATGTCTGTTTACATGTCAGTTTCCAGTGTTCATTGTACCATTACCTGTAAATCACAAGTTAATTTGGTTTTTTTAGCAAGCTTCCCACTTAGTTTTCACTAAAATGCTGAAAACATGTAATAGGAAAAAACTCCATGATACAGGTTCATCACACAGGACACACAAGGCAGGCAGACTCCTGCAGAGAAACACTGAGGAGTGAAAGCCAGCATTAAACACCTGCCTTGTACCTTCTGTTAAAGGACTTCCGGGGATGAAACTTGGGCTGGGGTTGTAGGACTGCTGATTTTAAAATTGCATGTGTTGCTTTTCCTTTGTGTAACTGTTGGCAGCTGGAGACAGAACAGGGGTGTTAGGGAAGGAGGGAAATTCACACTGGATTGCCATCGCAAGCCAGACTTTTGTCACCAGTAGCCTTGAGTGGACACAGATGCCATTTGCAGATGTCTTTAGGTATCCAGTTCTCAATTTTGTGCCAAAATACACACCAGCAATATCAGGTAAAGCACCTTTTATGCTCTTTGTTGTTTAAAAATAATATATTTGTGAAACAGATCGATACTACATAACACTGGAAATGGGTCCTTCTTCCCTAAAGTACATGTAAAATAAAATTTTAAAAAAAGAAACAACATTTGTGAATTTATCTGGCTTTTAATCAAGTCTGAAAATTATAACTATGTTTTACAGTTGCCAGTTGTCGGTCCTTTATACTTTTAAATAGATCTGCATTTTAACTTTATTTATTTGCCAATTTTTTATATACTTTAAAGTTACACTTTAGAACTAAGGCTAACTTTTTATTTTCCTAGGCTGTTATGTAAGAGATTTTCAGTCTTCTTGTAAACTGCAGACCTTTTTTGAATAGTCCTTTGTCTTCTCCTTTGGACCACTTACCACTAATGAGTCTGCAGTCCCCGTTTCACTGTACTCTTCCAATAAATGTAAAATATTTGTATCAAGCAGTCTCATTTTATTTGATATTTACAAGTTGTGTTTCTTCATTTGCCTCTGTAATCAAGTGGAAGACCAATTCTAGTAACATTGCTTTTGGGAACAGACGCAATTCAAAATACTCTGTTTCACACAGCAGGGGGAGACCCAATTTGATTTGATTCTTTTTGAAATTTCTGGAGATAATCTTTCTGTATGATCTTCACTCACAGTTTTGCATTACTTTTGTTTACCTTTTGCATATCAGAAGAAATTGGAGCAAGAAGTAACCTAGAGGACAGAAGGGAAAGGAGATGTTGAAATGGGCTGAGAACTTTGTTATGAGAACATTATTATGCCTTAAAAAATACAAACACATTTTGAGATCCTGTGGGTACCATAAAGTATGAATACCCCTATATGAAGAACTTCTTCTACTGCCTAATGCTCCCTGCAAATGCACCTTGTTTGAAGACCCAAAACCAGGCAGAAGGATGTGATTCTGGGTACCTGCACCTTACGTGGTGGTGTTAAGCACTCTGCTAACTGGCAGAGCCCTATGATTAGTGCCTGACTGAGGAAGGAGTTTGTAGCATGTAAGGCAATTTACAGCTCTGGTTCCTAAGTGGGACTGAGGTAGCTGGGATTTGGGTCAATTTTTTTTCTGATAGAATACAGTTGTTCCCTATTAAAAACCCTGGAGGTGTTTTTCCCCACCATCTCCCAGTAATCATGAATGGATAATGTGTAAGTCCAAAGCTCGTCCACTGAATTTCCCCAGTGTGTGTTGGAACAGAAGACAGCACAGCATGGGGTTGCACACAGGTCTGGTAGAATTCTGCTGAGACTAATTTTATTAGCAGGATTGTTTTAGAAAACGTTATTGAAGTTACAGCAGCCAAATCTGTTTTTCTCAGTGATGCCTGGCCTCCAAATAATAGAAATATGTTGTTTGAAAATCTGTGACTGCCAAACACTGAGCCGCACAGGGTGGTGATAGATTTCCTCATTTGAAGTGTCACTGCAGTGAAGCAGAAATGAGGCTGAAGAAAGGAGCCTTGAAGGAGATCAGGGCCTTTGAACAGTCCTACAGTTTCTCCAGTTTAGAAGTACAGTTAAAAGATTTGCTGTTGAAAAGATTTAGTTGATTAAGACTTCTCACAAGATCCCAAAGGACACTGGTGCACAAGGACTGCTTTAAATGGCAGATCATAGCATTTCCCTATTCTTGAGATGGCAAACTTAGCCATGCAGGTACATCTTATCCTAACAAACCTCATGGCCTGCAATAAGAAAATGCTCCAAGGTAGATACTCCCCAATTCCCAGGTGACCATAGCACCTTATTTTGTATTTCAGTTCAAGCTCTTCACTTGGGACTTTTTATGTCTTGCTGACTTGTGAGCCCTAATGTTGCTGTTACTGTGCAGCTGCCAAAACTGCACACAGAGGACATTTGGACACAGAAGGTTTGATCCTGGGTAGCAGTTCTGTTTTGGGGTTCTTTTTCCAGACAGCCAGCATTTGCATGTCAAAGCTGGATCTGTTCTTTTTCTCCCTTTTACATCCAAATACTGTGCATGCAAAAGTGTTTTGATACTTGGGTTAAAATCCTCTCTTGATGTTTGGCAGAAATAACATTTTTGTTAAATGAAGGAGAGATTAATCTTGCTCAGAGACACAGAAGAGGCTCACGTCTGAAGACTCCAAGTAGAAGAATGTGCCTGCCTTCAGCCTGGTGATGAGGGGAATTTGTGCAAAATCAGGGATGGAGAGAGTTGTTTTGGGGAGTGAGTTTTTTTCAGCATATTCAATTTAGAGGCACACTAGGTTTGCTGACTTCTGTAAATGTTCTCCTAGATCCCTGTGTTTTCACCAGCTCCACACTCTGGAAGCTTAACTTAGCTGAGGACCATAGAGAGATCAAAAGCCAAGTATTGCTATATTTAAGATTTTTGGTAGATCTACCCCCTAAAAATAAGTCTGAGGAAATCTGCAATAAGATGCACTTACTCAGTGTAGAGCTCAAGGGCCATTACAGATCACTGAGTATGAACTTTCACCAGGGCCAGAATTTTCTGGTAAGCTCCTGATATGAAAATTCTTTAAAGGATTGTCTCATCACACACTGCAGCTACTGTTCAATCCTCCTTGAACTCCTGTTCCAGCCATTAGAAAATGCAAAAATGCAGTAACCTCACTGATATGGTCTTGATTACAGCTGGACAGTTTACACCTAAAGGGACATGATACAGATAACTACAGAAAATACACAAGCCAATGACACATGCACATAGCACTAACACTGCAACACACAGAGGTCTTTGATATAATTTCATCAGTATTCTTCTCCTCCTCCATCACCCTCCATTCCTTGCAGGTCTACTACACTAAAGGCACTGCTGCTAAACTGTGTGCAGAAATGGATCAGGACTAAAGAAATAGCTCTGTCTTGAGAATACAGAATAATGAGGCACTGTGCTCTCTCTATTTTTCTAATAACTAAGCTCACGTAGCTTTCAATGACCTAATCTGCTGCAAAAAGAAGTCAAGGGAGAGAAAAACCAAGCTACTAACTAGCTTAGAATCTTCAAAAGAATCCTCAAAGGAACAGGCTGCCATTTGACCAGGCTGTAATGGGCATGTATCTTCAAGAGACATTTCCAACTCAAGATGGATTAATTCTCTGACAGCTGAAAAAAAAAATGAGATTGCATTAGAAACACCTGGAGTATATTGAAATGTTTTTCTACTCTCTGTCTTAAAAGCTTGCACTGCCAAGTGCAATTCGCTAAAGAGAAAGTACAGAGAACGGTTAGTAGGATAATCCAGTTGCTGAAATTTAGTCTGCAGTCAGTAGCTATGAAAGCCCATCCTGTTAACATTAAGACATGGAAGTCACAGCCCCAGTAAAATCAGACAAACACATACCAAGCCCTTACCCCCAAGGGTCATAAAGACCTTCACTCAACTAAACCTACAACCCTGTGCATTCAAAAATCTTTTCCACTACTCTATTGCCCTGAGTCTGAAACGAAAAGAATGCAGTGACCTAGATCTTGCTAAATATAATTAGAGAACCTTGAAATATGAAGGAGCTAGACAGCACCATTTCTCTCACAGCTATGGACCCAGAGGGTCAGATGTCTAAAGTCTGAGCCCAAACAGGGGTCATTTTTGTGCTATGCATCTGATTTTCAGAGAGATACCTTGACTTTCTGTCTTTCTCCAATACTTCAGGTGGGCCAGGCCCTGGGGCTCTGTCAAGCCCTGTGAACCTTAGGATAGGATGCAGGTTTTTTTCCTTTTTATTGTTTTGTTTTGGGTTTGTTTTTTTTTGTTTTAATACAGCAACAATATTTAAGCAGGAAAACTATGGGAAAAGCCCTTCTGAGTCCTCTTGCACTCCCAGCTGGTCGCTGCTGGGGTGGTATGAGAGGCAGGAAAGTGCTTGCCTTAGTGCCCCAGGGCTTTACTGCTCAGCAATAACTAAAACATCCTTGTGATATCAACACTGTTTTCACCACAAATACAAAACACAGCTACTGAGAAGAAAATTATCTCTATCCTGGCCAAACCAGCACAAGAGAGCGCACGGAGAAATTTTAGGTCTGAGGAAGTGTTCATGCATCTCCTCAGGGTGCAGCTCACAGCAGCAGTCACACTTCACACTCCAACCCCTCGAGTCTGAAAGTGTCTCTTGTGAAAGAGCTGCAGATGTGCTGGTTTAAAGCAGCAGGTGGTCAGGGCTGTTCCTAGGGCAGGGTGGAGGGATAAAATAAAATAAGCAACATAAGCACCCTGTAGGTGTTTACATCAGTCCCTAGAGTACCTCCTCCAGCCCCATGAAGTCTGTATTTTCACAACAGGGAGGAGCAGAGAGAAAAGCCCTTGTCCAGCACTTGTGACCTTGGCTTTTAGGGCTGCAGGGAAAGGCCTTGAAACAAAGTAGATTGCCTCCCTGCAGACCCAGTCCTGGCTCTAGCTACTCAACTGGGGAAATGTCCATTTTGGGGCTCACAGATGTGCTGAATCCAGAAATGTGTGGGAGACACTTAGCTAAGCATGGAGGTGGCACCAGATATTCCCCCCAAGGGGCTCAATCTGCCCCTTAAAAACTGGTGTCTATGCCAACAGCTGTCTTGGACCTTGGCAGCTCCAGCATCCTGCACCCTTCCACAGCCCTGTCCCTCCTCTGAGCTGAAAATACCACCTAAAGCAGTTCCTGAAAGGCAGAGACTATAGATGACTTTGAAAAGTATAAACAACATATGCCACAGTCTGTCACTCAGGGATTATTAGGTTTATAGCTGTAACTCGTCTAATTACAAAATCACTGTGAAATACAAGGTTTAACTGAATTTAAAACTAGCAAATGGGAAAACCCATGCAGCCTTTTAATTTTTCTGCAGTTTCTTCATGATCCACTTGTAAGCAGTGTCTGCTTTAAATTCGGATGCTCATCTACACTGGTATAGGCAAGGTTTTATTGAGGGGAGGGTGAACAGTTCATTAAGGGTTAGTTTCAGGAAAGAAATTGTGCCAGAAAGTTACAGAAAAATCAAAGTTCAGGCAGTTTTATGCTCAGCTACTTGATGTATAGAGTGAATACTAAACTGCTAGATCTTTTCATACAGTGTTGTCATCAGCAATGGTCCTTCCTCTCTCTGTTTTACTCTTCACAGAGATAATGGAGAAGTCAGATTAAAGCAACAAAATCAAAGAGTCAATATGCTATTATCTGAAACAAGCACCTGATTATTATGGGGGAAAAAATTTGAAGCAGATAAATTCTTACCTTTTTTTACAATAAAAGTAGCCTTCAATTTCTAAGGCATCTTGGGGCCCTCCTGCTGTGAGGTTAAGGGCAGCTTTTATGCCAGAAACACATTCTCCTGAAACATTTTGAGGCAAGCAAAATCTGACAAACATCAAAAATCAGAACATGGCCTATCTTTCTTTTATTCCTTGTTATTATAATATTCTTCAGCCACAAGGATATCAAAGACTTTTGTGGCAATGGATGCAATTTAGCTGCTCCCTAGAGATGGCTTTAGAGAATGCATAATCAATTTTAGAAATGAGCAGCTGGCCTGCACAGCAAGGTGCACTCTGCGTTTCACCAAAATGAATAATGAATTGCATATACACTGCATTAAGAAGATTGGCTTTCCTCTCAGAAACTGATATGACTAAGTCTTGTTTGTTTCACTTGTTGAAAGATAAACTAATGCCTGGCTGTTGCTTAGTGTACCCAATGTTTTTGTGTGGTAGCCAGCCCCAGCAGAGAGAGGCTGTGCTGGGAGGAGGCTCCCAGGCACGGGCCATGGTCAGGCACCCAGGTCAGCAGCTCATGGATGTCAGTCTGCCCAGACCCTGTGGATCCTTCACTGGAGACAGCTATCCATAAGCCTGAGGCTCCAGCCTTGGACATTATCTTTTGCTGGCCCAACAAACTAATAATCTCAGCTAAATGGCAAGTATTTATTTTTATATTGAACGAAAATATTTCATTGCAGAAACATAAAAACAATTTCCAATGCCACATCTATTTATCTCAAACTTAGTGATGTCTGTGATCCAGGACAAAAGTTTGCTCAGGCCCAAGGGCATTTTGTTCACTTTCCACTGGTCTTTAAGTCTATAATGTGATTTCTTGGGTCTCTGTGTGGAAATGATTTGTGACTCTCATATTCCCATTGAGAATAACCCATCCATTATATAGCCTCCAGCAAAAGCTGCACAGTGACACATGTTTGAGGTCAGATAGGCTACTGCAATGCTTCAAATGGGCAGGCATGACAGACCTGCTGCTCCTCACAGGGCACAGAAAGCAAGCAGGAAGGGAAGCAGCAGAATGTGGCAAGTAAGAAACAGAGCATCTTTACAGGGGCACATTCATACTCAGATGTACATTTTTTTCCTGACAAGAAGTCTCTGAATAAATCTGACTTCAGTTGCCCTACTCCAGCCCCCAGAAAATGTCCTTTCAAAACCAAGTCTTTCCTGAGATTCCTGGGTGTGCCCCATGAGATTTCACTGGCATTTACATTTTCATTTCTTATTATTAGATGTACTTGTAAGACAGCACTAAGGGAACTGTCATCACTACTAAGAGCTGGCTCCAAGACATCTGTGGGGTTGGTTTTTTTTTTCTGATCATGTTGGTGTTTTAAGTGAGTTGTGGCAACAGTGGTGGAAGCTGTGCAGACTATATTCAGCAACAACATAAGACAGGAGAAAAAGTACACTTGTGGGAGCACACAGGAAGGGTGCTAGGCTTGGTGTTCCATGTGTGCTGCAGGAATTCAGCACACAATACCCATGACATCACTGTGGGCCTGCTCCACCCCTGCACTTTCTAATGACTGAAGCAAAACACCAATCATTCTGTCTGCTCAGCTTTTAACTCTCGACTACTTTTTTTGACAGTTCAAGCTTCTGAAGATAGAGAGATGCAAAATTAAATGCAGCATCTAGTGGTCTCATTGCATCACTGCTTATATGGTAACTTCCCTCTTTTCACTGCATAGAATACAATAAACTTAAAGACTTGAAGCATCACACCTTTATATGAACCAAAGAAAACCACGTGGAGACCTTGGCACATAAGTTCTGTTTCCAGCACTAAGGCCAAGGATAGAAGCCCTGTATGTGTGGGATCTCAGTCTCTCAGAACTGGGGGGCTCGGGAGTCCTGGAATGTTGCCAGAAATGTCTGGTGGCTGGACTTTGATCCCACATGGGAGATGACATCAGTATGAGGACAGGAGGATTTCACCGGGGTGAATGGTGAAGGGATAAGTTAATTGGAGTGTGAGATACAGGGTTTAAGATCCCTGTACAGGGGGGTCTAGAGAGGTAAGATGGAGGTACTGGGGCGTGCCCTTCTCCTCCTTCTTCTTCCTCTAGGCCTCCATTTTCTGTGGTGATGTTGGCACTCTGGGATTGGACCTTACTAGGGGAACACTGGTTAATAAGGGTAGAGGGTATTGGAGAAAAATGATAAATATTGTATACGTAACTCCGGGTATAAAGATAGGTGGCCGCCCCAGGGGCTCTCAGTGTGTGCCCATGGCTGACTGCTGAGCAGAACTCTGTCAGGCCAAGAGAAAATCTTTTAGATAAGCAATTAATAAACACCGAGACCGAGAACAAATCTGAAGCTTCCTCTCGTCCTTTCGAACCCGGGGGCCCAAGGCCATCTTTGGGCTTTTCCCAGACCATCTAGACAGCACCAAAATCCGACATGTATGGAATAACACACCACCCTGTGGTCTCCCAACCTTCGAGCAACCATCCAGGATGTGATTAAGGCTCCTGGCTGTTACCAAAAGCTGGCAGGGCTCTGCTGGGAAACAGAGCTTTATGCTCCTGACACACCAGCAGCTGCAGTCCCAAGCAAGCACAGCAGCTGCTCTAGCAGCAGTTCCTAAACTGCAGCACTGCCTCCACTGGCAGCCATCCCAGGTGGCCAGGCCAGGCATGGATAAAAAGGCCTGAGCATCCCTCCCCTTCCTCTTGCTGCTCTAGGTGTGAAGACAAGGAGCAGGGACCCAAACTGGGGTTTGGCAGCTGCTCCTCTCAGATGGCACCAGAGCTCTGTCCTGCACATCCAAGGCAAATTTTTGGATCCTGTTTGCCTTGTTTTACTGAGAGCAGCCAGGTAGCCCCTCCAC